TATGAAAAAGAAATTCTAATGAAGCAAGCACCAAGTTTGTTGCTCAGGTTTTAACATGATTTTTCTTCTTCACAAGTCTTTGTATAACCTCAAGCAATCCCCTCAAACTTAGTTTAGTAAGTTTAGAACTGTTATTCAACAATTTGATACGATTTAGAATGGAACTGATCACTCTCTGTTCTATTGCCACTTATTCCAAGGATACATTTATTTGATTGTGTATATGGATGACATTATAATCACTAGCAATGATCACTACTGTATAATCTAGGTAAAACAATGCTTCTACCATCATTTTTAGATCAAATATCTTGGCATACTCCATTATTTCCTGGGAATTGAAATGGCACAATTTAAGAATGGCATAGTTTATCTCATAGAGAAGATACATTATGGATACCCTTGAAAAAACAAGATTATTGAATGTAAAATCTATCAAATCTCCCATGGATCCAAATGTTAAGCTTATACCAAATCAAGAAGAGCCTCTATAAGATCCAAGAAGATATAGGAGATTAGTTTGAGAAGTTAAACTATCTCACAATATCCTGTCTAGCATCACTTTTGTAGTTAGTATGGTCAATTAGTTTTTAAATTCTCCTTGTGAAGATCATTAGAATATGGCGATTCATATTCTAATGTATATTAAAAGAGCTCCAAATAAATGTCTCATTTATGAAGATAAGAGTCACACTCAGATTGTTGGATATTCAAATACTAATTAGACAAGTTCTCATGTCGATAAAAAATTCACTTCTAGATATTATGTATTCATTAGGGGTAATTTGATACCCTAAAATAGTAAAAATAAATAAATAAATAAAATATGGCAACAAAATCAAATGCTGAAGTAGAATATCGCATCATGACCTTAAACACTTGTGCATTAATTTGATTGAAATATCTTTTTTTAAAAATATTCAATTTGGGGGAAGTATACAAATGACATTTATTTGTAATAATTGAATGACATTGTATATTGCTTCCAACCCGATATTTTGTAAGAAGGCCAAACATATTAAGATACATTGTCACTTTATTAGAGAAAATATTCAACTAAAAGATATCACCACTCGACTTGTCCATTCTAATAAATTAGCAAATGTTTTCCTTTAATTCTTGAAAGATCCTAAAATAAATTACTTGTGTAACAAACTTAATACATACAATCTACATGCTCCAATTTGAATGAGAGTGTTAACGCAAATTATGAAAAGTTAATATTAAATTACCAAATTAAATAGGTCAATTAGATCAATTAGAGACTCTTTTTTTTATAAATTCTTTCCTTATTAGTATATAAGATTTGTGTGTGTGTGTGTGTATTGTATAATTTAGTAATAATAGGAAGAAAATAATTTCATCCCAACAAATCCCATACCTCTATTTTAATTCTTCAATAATCATTATCAATTATTGGCAAATTCATAGCCTCTTAATTAAAGAAAGTAACTCCTTACTACCACAAAAACAAGAAAAAAAAAATCCATTTTTGCACACCCTGAGATTGCCACTCATCACAATCACTACTCCATTTCCAGCAAGCCAAAATTTCAATCAGGTTTACCCAACGGCACAAATTTTAGCTAAACTTAGCAATTTCAGTATTACTTTTCTTTTTATTATATTTTCAACCATAAATATGATTTTTTAAATATTTTCTGCATGATATTGTCAGCCAATTTTGAGATGGGATAAAAGTATCCTATACACCCATCCATCCTCCTGGGGCACATGATTTCTCATATTCAAACAAAATCATATTCATGAGTAAAAAGTGATTTCTCGTATCTATAATTTCTGAATGAAATTTTAGATATGAGAATCCTCTATTATTATAATACGACTTATTCATTTAATTACTTCTTTGCCGGGAAAAATCAACAAATGAAGACAAGGAATAGGCTTTACAGAAGTGCTACATACTTTTTAATGCTTATAGTTTAAAACTCACGCTTGCAAGAATATATCTTAGATAGACAATTTCATTTTATAGATATTAAAACTACCATTTTGTTTTCTAACAAACTATAGTTTCACACACTTTCTAATTTAGGTCCCATGCATTGCAAGGTTATTCTGCTAGTAAACAAATAAACCAAAGGCCTGCAGAACAATAAGCAAATAAGACATGACCACGACAAATTATATAAATTATGACAAAATCCCAATTCAAGGTCAAGCAAGCCATCTTCAAGCTCATAGGAAACTACCAATACCAGCGGATATTCGTCCCGACCCAATGCTCCAGAAAATGAGATGACAAGAAATAAATCTAGGGAGAATATATCCACGCCGGAGCCATCCAAAAACCATTGTAAGTCAAAGCATCCAAACATAATAGTCAAAAGAAATCCCGGATTATATTAATTTATTAAAAGAAAGCCACGTGAAATACAGAGAGAGTGGAGACACTAACAGAGTCGTGCATGTGAGAGTATCAGGAATGTTAGCTTTTTAGGGTGTACAAGGTCCTACTCTACTCTCATCTGCTTTACTTCAATGATGAGTTTCTTGGCAGACTTGGCGTGATTCCAATACAGAATCAACTTGGATATCTTCAACAAACAGATAACCACTGATAACCAGCACATGATAACATCAATATTGGATTCACCCTATTCCAGTGTTATTCTGTCGCCAAACATGGTTCCTCACACAATCAAGATGCTGAAAAGATGTAAAGGAGAAATAAGCACTTGCACTAGCTGTTTACACCAAGCAACTCAGCAGTTCATGTGATCAAGAAGCTGAAAATAGCGTATAGCAATAATGACAAAATCTAACTTGTTTTACATGTAAATTCCATTTTCAGAGGTGGCATCAAATAAAAACACATGAAGTAAGAAGTTCACATCTTCATCCTTTAGCAGGCTCTTGGCAAGACTCAAAACATCCATTGTGTTGATGGAAAACCAAAAATTATGGAAACTTTATCCCGTTCAATACTTTGTCTAGTGGAATTTTTCTTCAACATAAAATTCAGCTCCCCTATGATCAAGAAGTAGAAACTGTAAAACACAATAACGAAATTTTAACTCGTTTTACATGTCAACCATTCATTTAGCTGAAGTGACAACTGACATCAATGTGAACATAGAATGATGCAATAATAGGATATTAGAATTTACGTCTGATTAGCGGAGATGTTTACAATCAAGTGGCCTTTGTTGGTTAGTTCCCACCTTAAAAGCAATATTTAGAAGCTGGAAGATGAGTTTGGTAAAGACAAATTCATGTCTAAAAGTATGAAACAAAAAACTGTTAAGTAATATATAGTTAATTTATTCCCCTCTCTATAAGTTTAAGCTTTTAGATAAGATGGTAATTAACAATTCAACATGGTATTAGAGCAGGCAAAGGTACTTGTTCAAGTCTCACCACCCGCAAGTTTAAAAGTTTCCAACTGTTGGCCATGTTGTGATCATAAAATCTGGCCACAAATGAATGGGCGTATTAAGTAATATATAGTTAATTTACACCTATCTCTATAAGTTTAAGCTTTTAGATGAGATAGTAATTAATAATTCAACAAAAACAAAACATGGCTTTAGAGGGTAACAAGTCACATGCTTGCTTCTGCTGGAAGCACAGATAGATTTACAGTGAGGGCACCTGCCCCACTAAACCACCATTCTTTTATATAATTAATGAAATTTTATTAAAAATTATGCTTCATCAAATGCAGGTTCGCTTCCACTAAAATTATGAAAAAGTCTTTTGCCCCCACAAAATTTTATGAAAAATAATTTGCCCATACTACATTTTAGAGAAAAAAATAATAATAATTTGCCTTCACTATCTCTATATGAAATTTGTAAAAATTCTACTAAAAGATCAGATTTTAGAATAAGTTTACCCTCAATTTCGTAAAGAAATAGTTTACCCCAACTAAATTTTAGGTAAAAATAATTTGTCCCACAAGCATAATTTTCTCAGTCGTCCCCAGATAGAAGTATTGTTTTGAACAACTTCCAATTATTTCCTTGATAAGTAAAATAATGGTCCAGGAAATACCAACAAAACACAATCAGATCAAAGGAAATAAGACTCATTTTGATATTAGCCTAAAAGCAATTTTTCAAACATCAAATGGAATAACATTTCAAATTGGCTATTATGCTCTCCAAACACCAACAAAAACGACAAAGTGCAAGAGAAGATAAATCTATTTGTTTGATCACCCATGGCAAATGAAGTTTAAAAATCATATCAATCAGACTGGGACAAGAAAAATATATTACTTTAGTTCCATGGCAGCTTAGTTCCATGGCAGCTGGGGCCAGAGCCATGCCAAATGATGCCTAAACTCTATCAATAAGAGAAGAAAACATATTACTTTAGCCAATACGGTAATTGGGGCCGAACTAATTTTTACATGTGACCTTGAATTTGAAACATTTTGCTTTGTGTTTCAAGGGGGAAAAATATACAAAAATAAAAAATAAAAAAAAATTCTTTTGGTGTGCTGGAAAAGGGAGCATCTGGGGCTATGCCAACTCCCAGCTAGGGCAAAGTCTCCTTATTACACAGACCTCAAGACCTAGAGGCCACATCAGACATACTCATTTCAATGGTTCGGTGCACTAAAGAGCTAAAAGAGGACCACTGGAGGCTATGCAGACCCAGAACAAGTTCTTTAGCAAAACAAATCCACTTACAACTTGCTGAACCTAACCCGTAGTGGTAATATTTTTTATGATTTATTTGCTCTTTCTAATAAAATTGTAGCATCTTTCAAAAAGAGAGGGCACAAACAAAGTAACTTCATGAGATTGCAAACACAATTTTGGTGAAACTACAAACATGAATACTGTGACTGTGGCAAGACAGAGAAATAGCTAGTGATTGGCTTACCAGAACAGAATATTTTTAAAATCCAACCGAATACTGGAATCTGAAAGAGAAACACCTTGACAGATGGCCAAAAACCACTACAAAAAATGTATAAACACATTAGAAACATGGTAACAAGCTGAAGAAGCAAGTGCATAAAGGAGTTAAAATAGAACTAACCCAAAGAGAACTATACAGCCATATATCTCAAAGATTATCCCAACTATTGGCCATCGGACAAATATGAAGAAGAGTCCAAGTACAAAGGATGCAGAACCCTGCATTGAAAACAGAAAGAAAACTAAGTTAAAACCATCTCCACTTTGACTATATGCACTCTTTAAGTTCTATCTTTGATTGCAATACATTAAACTCAGCAAGATCTGGTCTCATTATCAATTATTCCTGAGAATAAAATTTTAACAAAAGAGATACCAATCGAGAGGGAAAAAATTAGGAAAGAGAATCTAATTCTTGCCACATTCTGGGCAAAGCAATGGCTGACCAAAGGAGTGCTTAAACATCAGAGGAGAAATACTACTGCTTCAAACTCAACAATAACAAAACCATAATTCTATTAGCTAGCAGTAAACAATCCATAAAAGTATAAATACAGACTCCTCACTTTCCAGGTAGGGAAAAAATCAGAAGACCTCAAAGAAAATTGAAAGAAAATTTTTCAACCATCAGATATAGACAGAAATTTCAATATGCAGGTGAAGAAATTATTAGATTTGAAGAATGAAACTAAGAAAAAGTAAGCAATTTTGATAAATAAATTCAAAGCCAAATATGGAGGGAGAGATTGCTGTGTATATGAGTAATGACTCATAGGATTACGGTACAGAGAACCAAGCAGAGTTATGTGATCAACATGTACACTTCAGAATTAAGGGGACAATTTCATAAGATATCTTGAGACCAAATTTACTTTCCTGATAGGCTCATAAAGACTGCAGGATGGTTAAGAGACCACATGCTAGGTTAAATGAGCTTAGCAGAAGCAAGAATGTTAAGATCAATATGTTGTGAGGTGATTGAGCTTATGAGATAATATAGGAGGTAAATATTAAGAAAATAAAAATAAGAGGAACTAGGTTAAAAGGGTTTGAAGTCTTGAACATATACGCAACAAAGACCTGTAAGTGTTTCAATTAGGAGAGGCGACACCATCTACATGGAACAATAAAAAATAAAAGATCAGGAAGACCAAAATAACTTAAGATTTGGCAATAAAAAAGATTAAAAAAAAAAAAAAACAGTTTAAGTATTTGACTTCAATGAAAGCATAGAATCCCATTTCTAAGTACTTGGGAAAAGACTTAGTTAACTTGAGTTCAGTTGGAGTACAAATATCCAAATATATAAACATCAGATTTCCTTCAAAAATATTAACCACATTCAGGAAGTTGACATATTTTATACAATCATAACACCTTGTAGTTTGATCTATTGGTGAATAGTTGAACTGTGGCACGCCAACCAAGTAGAAGGCCTACACCAGCCAACCAAAATATCTGTTGGAAGAGGCAAGAAATTTAGGAAGCTTCATCAGTTCAAGATATAAAAAATATCTAAAAATGTCACTTATATAACAATAAAAAAGGGAGGGAAAACTTACATTTCCCAAAGCAAGCAAACCCCTATCAAAGAAAAGAATTACCCAAGAATTGTAAAAACGATGCCAAATCCAATAAGACCTAAGCCAACCTCTGCAAGATTGAACAAACATAACAATGATGACTGATGAGCCAAATAAAATGCTCTTCCACGTGAGGGTCGGTTGGAATAAATAAAACACAAAAATATAAGTGCATCGGCGTGCCTTCGTTTGTAGTGCCACTAATTAAAATGTCACCCAAAAGGAAAGCTAAATGTAAGAGCTAGAGCCATTAATGCTCCCTGAAACTTAGCTCAGATGTTCAAGTTGGTTCTGAATTTTAAAATTTCAACCATGTCCTTGGAACTTAGTCAATTTGCCTATTTTAAGATTTCCTTCACAAATGGGAAATGCTGATATAGAATTCTTTTGCATATAAATGTTAAAAGAAAAAAAAAAGAATAAGAGAACAAAATATCACCATCTCCCATTGTCTGCCAATAAACTATACATTGTTTGCTTAAACATTAAAAACGAATAAAGTCTGAAATCAAAGGCCCACATGAATTGTCTTCAACAGTTAACTTGGTCTTACCATGAGGTCAACTTATTATCACCCTTCTAACATATTTTATAATAATTATTTTATTGCATTTCCCAGAATCAAAATCATGTTATATTCTAAGAAGTTTTTTTGGAATAGAAAATTTTCAAATTGATATCCCTTTCTATGTGGCCTCACCTAGGAGAAACTCCACCTCATGGTTTCTACTAATATCAAGCTCATTTCACAGCAAAGCTTAAAGGGGTACCACTATGATAGAGTTTAGAACCATCAATAAGATCTTTGCTACCACTTGTCACCCTTGAATCACCTGTCTCTAGTATTGACAGTGAAACTCATTCTTCTCAGTTCATTACATAAAATCCCAACATGGACAAGATATTTCCTTTGAAGTTGAGGGAGTGATTTTGGCAGTGGTATTTTTGTAATAAGTAAAAGCTGTTTTGGAGCTATTTTGACATTTTGTCCTTGGGCATTTTTCAACATTCCAAAATTGCCCCAGCAATGATCTGAATTCTTCTTGGAGCACCAACATTTTTGCTTCCTCTTCTTGGCTGGGCTTCACACTGAGTTTGTTGCTACCTCTTCTTGGCTGGGCTTTGTTGCTTCCTCTTCTAGGCTGTTTTGGAGCTCGAATCACCATGGATGGCCACTGAAATGAGCAGTGAAGAGATGAAGACAGATGCATTGAAGCTCAAATCACATGGTCTCTATTCTCACACATGTCACTAAACCCTTTGCTCTCATCTCGTCTCCTCCTCCACGTCCCCAATTAATTCCAGCAATGCCAGTGGCTGCCGCCGCTGCAAACACAGTTGTCAAAGCAAAGTGGCAGAAGACCGCTTCCAAGAATTCGAGAAGAAGAAAGCCTCTCTTTCTCTCTCAACTGCAATTTCTGTGTGCTTCTAACCTGCAATGATGCCCTCGACTGTTGCTGCAAAACCACAAGCTCATAACACTGTTATCCGGATTCCCTTTAGTAGGGCAAGTGCAGAACAGTGAGAACATATTAGTCTCTTACAAGCAAAATCTTCTCTACCAGCAAATTATACAATTTGCATTCCAAACACCTATTTTACTACCTTTGAGAACTTTTTTTAACAGGCAAACACATCCAAATTCTTATTATAATCTGCTTCTACCCACTTTTGCTTCAAGCTCCAACTTCTGATTTTGCTGCAACTGTTGTAAAAACTCCTCAAGGCCTTCCTTCATACCAAGTTTCAAACAAAATACCTATGAGCTCTAAAATATTTCTTAGGCATTGAAATCTCCAAGAAGCAAGAAAGGAATTTCTCTCTCTCCAAAAAAAGCATACCTTGGATTTGCTTGTCGAGGTAGCTATAGTTGATGCCAAACCATGTGATACTCCCATGATCCCATACATTAGACCTAAAGGTGGAGAATGACTTCACGATACATACAGAGAAAGGTCAGAGACTAGTTGGAACTTGAACTATGTTACTGCCACACATCCTAATATTTTATTGTCTATGAGTATAGCAAGTGTCACCTAGACCCAACGCAGGCAAGCCCAATAGGCTGTGGGTCAACCCAAAGGCAATAAGGCCATGCCAAGACGTGCAGGCCTGGGTCGACTTGGCAGGCCAAATTCAGAGGGGAAAAGAGTCAGATTGGGCAAGAATAGAAAGCCCAATCTCACTTTTCGAGTTGTCTGCAATCAAGAAAAATCGAAAAGCATCGGCTAGGGGAGACAAAGGTCGAGGGCTTGAACAACGCCGGCAACACAGCCAAAGGAATCCAAGAAGGCCGACGATGAAGGATCGAAGGTCCAGTGAAGCTTGCTTGTGCCTAACGAAGCAACACAGACCTGAAAAATAGCCGATTGGAAGTTTGATAGAGCCGAATTGCATGCAGAGGAGGCCAAGCAGGTTGCTGGATGCTTGGCTTTAAATCGATCTATTGAAGGGAGATTCGAAAAAGGCAAAGATCTTGAAAACGGCCTACAATTTGAGCACATTGCAACAGTGATTGAAGCTTATCCTGAAGGTCCGCATGGGGTTTGTATAGAGCACATCAAAATAAGATCGACTTGTGAGGATTGAAACCCATCAGCTAGGGTTGTTAGCCAAAGATTGAGTAGATTTGATATGAGCTACTCAGCTCCTGTGAGAGTTATAAATAGGGGCCAAACCTCTGTAGTTGTTCATCCCCTCAATCCGAGGAAGAAGAGTGTTGAAGGTGTGAGGAACTAGCAGATTCCTAGTTGAAATACTCCGATTAGAGTGAAATACAAGGTTGGGAAGAAAGGGTTTTCCCATAGCTTGAGTTCTATTCATTTGTTCTGTTATTGTGCTTCATTGTTGTGTTATGTTGTGGCTACATTCCCAAGTATAAAGGGGCTCACCCATTCAACATGCTGACAGTCAGCAGTGACATGCGGCAGTTCGTGAGGTGTTGTGACCTTGCTCGAAGGTTGGTTGCCCAACCTGGTTGTTCAGCAACTGTGCAATCTGGCAAAGCACCCTTATTTTTCTGAGTGGGGTGCAAACCAGAAAATCAGAACAAGCACATGAAAGGGGAGCCAAAGGTGTGTGGCACATGAGAGATCTACCAGGCACATGGGAGCACGTGAACAGTAACAGGTGTGTGGGACAGAAACCCTAGGCACATGGGGGTGCATGCAAGGGCTTGGAACAAGCCGAAATGCAACATTTTGGTAAGAAACAGAGAAACCAAGGTGAGGCTTCACCAGGTTAATTAAAAGGATAAAATTTTGGGCTTCCGCAAGCCTGATGACAATAAGTCAATTCATGTCACACCAAGAACTCCACATTGGGAAGTTGTTCTTTATATATAAAACCTTAAGGGTACTTCATGACATGGAATTATTTACAACAATCATGGAAAAATAGAGTGGAAGGGTTCACATATGTGGATAGGGCTAGATCTTTGGCAGATCAAAGATCTACTTCAAGATACTATGTTTTTCTAGAGGAAATTTGGTTTCATGTAAAAGCAAAAAATAGAATGTTGTTACTTGATCTAGGACAAAATCTGAATACAAAGCCATGGCTAAGCTAATTGTGAGCTTATGTATAGAAGATTTTAAGGCCATGCACTTGTGGTGTGACAATCAAGTAGCGATTCACATTGCCTTTAATATAGTATTCATGACAGGATAGAGCATATAGAAGTTGATTGTCGCTTTGTTTGAGAAAAGCTTCATTAAGGACTTGTCTCTATCAAGCATGTTCATAATGGGGAGATGTTAGCAGATGCGTTCACTAAATCCCTAGTTCGGAATCGAGTCAATAATATTTATGCTCAAGCTTGAAAGGGTGTGTTATGAGTCTTAATTCTTATTATTAAAGATATTTTAGTAATTATATCTTGTACATATGTTCATAGATATATAAAAGGCTGCCTAACACGTTGATTTGGTTAAGGCTTCACAACTATTGTCTCACCCATTCTTTTCCTTGATCTAATTATACTTTTCAAAGCCAAAAAGAACAAATACAAGAAATCACATTACAAATACACTAGTTGGATGGTGCCTATGTAATGCATTGACTAACCTCATTGTATTACTGTCAAATACACTCCTTAGTTGTATGTTATTTATATTCCTAATTTCACCAAAAGGAAAAAGTGTTTACATGACCAACCACAGGAATATTGATAAAACTCATCTCACAATTTTGAAAACACGACATTGTTCTTAAGTCTTGGTGCTTTGAAATATAAGATGTAAATTGTGAAAACTTTGTTTGCTTTAAGAAAGATATAACGATTTCATCACCAATATCCACATTTTGGTAAAAGGAAAGAAAATTAAAATGTTTAAACAATTTCGTTGGGCATATTTTGCTATTTCACATCAATTTCATAACTTTAGTTATCCAGATGCAAGAAAAGTTAAATTAAGTGCCTGTTAGTACACAAAATATCTTTTATACAAAGTGAAAAATTTTGTACATTAACTAAATTTTGGATAATAAACAGAAAGTTATTATATGCAACTAAAATTCTATACGTGCTAAGTTAAAAACTACACCTGTTTCAAAAAATTCTACAAAATAATTGGCACATATTAAGCAAACCATGAATATAAATTTCTGGTACATAATGAACAAAGTTATATACAATGGGTCTTACTCTTTTGCTCATCTATCTCATAGGCCATTTTATTGGTAATAGAATAACTCCCTTGAAACTCGCACAAAAGAAGCAACTTTCAAAACTAGCTGCAATAAATTAAACAATGTTATTAAGCAACACATGAAAGAGACCCAAAAATCCTGTCAAAAAATTAAAAGAGTTAGGATAAACATACATCTAGTCAAAGATGCAGATCAAAAAATATAATATAAATATCCCACAAAATGAAAAGAGAACCACATATGCATGTACAAGTTAAAACTCTTAAGCTAAGTCATAGCCACGCTTACAAAGAGAATTACATATATACAATATATGGACAACATAACCATGCAAAGAAGTTACATATGCGACAGAAAAAGGATTTCCTCTCTACATACCCATGTTTACATAATAAGCACAGAGAATTACATATATCCAGTATCCAAAAATGAATGTCATA